GGCCAATGGAACAGAATAGAGACCCCAGAAACAAACTCCCAAACGTACAGCCACCTGATTTTTGACAAAGGGCACCAGTCAATCCAGTGGGGAAAGGAAAATCTCTTTAGCAAATTGTGCTGGAAAAACTGGATATCCACCTTCAGAAAGATGAATCTGAATCCCTACCTCTCACCATCAATAAAAATCAACTTAAAAGTGGATCAAAGATCTAAATCTAAGACCTCAAACTATAATTACTGCCAAGAAACACTGGGAAACTCTGAGAGACATTGGGGTAGGCAAAGACTTCTTAAATAAGATCCCCAAAGCACAGTTAATAATGCCAAAAATAGACAAGTGGGATTACATCAGCTTACGAAGTTTCTGCACTGCCAAGGACACAATAATCAGTGTGAATCAACAGCCCTCAGAATGGGATAATACTTTTGTAAACTATGCATCAGAAAAGTAAATGGTAACCAGAACACACAGGGACCTCAAGCAGCTGTCCTGAAAGAAGATGATCGACTCTGTTAAAAGATGGGAGAAAGCTGAAAAAGAACCGTCCTCTAAGGAAGACATATGAATATCCAAAAGGCATATGAAAAAATGCTCAACATTCCTCATTATAAGGGTGATGAAGATCAAAACCACAATGAGATACCACCTAACTCCAGTCAGAATGACTAAGATTAAAAAAAAAAAATGATAAGTGCTGGTGGGAGTGTGGTGAAAGGGGAACTCTCCTACCTTGCTGGTGGGAATGTAAATTGGTCCAGCCACTGTGGAGAAGAATATGGAGATTCCTCAAAGATCTACAAATAAAACTACCATATGATCCAGCAATCCCATTCCTTGGTATCTACCCAAAGGACAGACAAATCCTTAGTCAGAAAAGTGCTTGCACACCGATGTTTATTGTGGCGTTATTCACAATTGCTAAGACATGGAATCAACCCAAATGCCCATGAACAGATGAATGGATTAAAAAAGTGTGGCGCATATACTCTATGGAATACTACTCAACCATTAAAAAAAAAAAAAAAAAAAAAAAAAAAAAAAAACAAAACACTCG